ACTACTACTACTACTACTACTACTACTACTACTACTACTACTACGACTACTACTACTACCACCACTACTACTACTACTACTACTACTACTACTACTACTACTACTACTACTACTACTACTACTACTACTACTACTACTACTACTACTACTACTACTACTACTACTACTACTACTACTACTACTACTACTACTACTACTACTACTACTAATCCTACTACTACTACTACTACTACTACTACTACTACTACTACTACTACTACTACTACTACTACTACTACTACTACTACTACTACTACTACTACTACTACTACTACTACTACTACGACTACTACGACTACTACTACTAGTACCAGGAAGATCCATTTGCATATTTTAGAATCGATGTTTACGCTTCGGTGCCCTCTTGCTCATCTTAACGTAGTGCTCGTGTGCAAACCAAAACTGAGACCAATTCCACCTCGAGCATGCATGTTGGCTTCCAGATCCTGTGCGTTGACATAAGGAATGTCACTTGGTCTTCGCACGCGTCTTGGGCTTCTCTACAATTAAAATCCTATTGTGGGCCTATCCCAAGATGGTTGGGATTGGGCCCAGTTTGCTTTTCGCACTGGTTGGGATTGGTCCCAGTTGGTTGGGATTGGGCCCAGTGGGTTGGGATTGGGCCCACATGCGGTCCGACCCCCCCCCCCCCCTCCGAAAATCCCCCCCCCCCCCTGCTGGACCCCCCCCCCTCCCCCCCCCCTCCCCCGCAAAACCCCCCCTCCCCTACCCCTCCCCCCCCCCCCCCCCCTCCCCCTCGAAAACCGCGGGGGGTCACTACTGGTTCGAACCCCTCCCCCCCCCCCTTCCGGATCTGGAAAACGGGGGGGTCACTACCGGTTCGAACCCCCCCTCCCCCCTCGAAAACCGGAGGAGGGTCACTACCGGTTCGACCCCCCTCCCCCCACGCACCGCCAGCAAACGACTCCCGGTCCCTACCACCGTCCACATCACATCCCACTGTTGTTCCCAGCACCACTGTCCTCACCACCACTGTCCCCACTGGTTCCACCACCGTCCCTACTGTCCCCACCAGTGCCCCCACCACTGTCGAACTGTCCCCCACTGTTCCCACCACTGTTCCCACCACGGTTCCACTCTCCCCACTGTCTCCACGGACCCAACCACTGCCCGACTATCCCCACTGTCCCCGCTGTCCCACTGACTCCTCCGCTGTCCCACTGAGCTATCCCACTGTTCCCACCACTGTCCCCACTGTCCCCACCACTGTCCCCACTGTACCTCTGTCCCATTGTCCCACCGCCGTCCTCGCCACCGCCTTCACCACTGTCCCCACCACCATTGTACCCTCCACTGTCCCACTGTTTCCACCTCATTCCCACTGTCCCCACACCACTGTCCCCACCACCACCGTCCCCACCACTGTCCACTGTCCCCCCTGTTCCCACCATTGTCCCCACCACTGTCCCCACCACTACCGTCCCCACCACTGTCCCACTGTCCCCACCACTGTCCCGCTGTCCCCTCACCACTGTCCCCCCACCAACACCGTCCTCACCACTGTCCGCACCCCCACTCGGTTTTCGAGGGGGGGGGGGGTTCGAACCAGTAGTGACCCCTCCCGTTTTCGAGGGGGGGGGGGGGTTCGAACCGGTAGTGACCCTCCCCCCTTTTCATGATGACTGGGGGGGGGGGGGAGGGGTTCGAACCGGTAGTGACCCCCCCCGGTTTTCCCGAGGGGGGGGGGGGGAGGGGTTCGAACCGGTAGTGACCCCCCCCGGTTTTCCGCCAGCAGCGGCAGAACACGCTCTTTCTTAGAATATAAGCCCGGCCGAAACTGTTCTAAGAACATTTCGTGCAGACCACAAACATCTTCGGTGGGCCTATAGGCGAGCCAGGACGCTGCGCCACTGCTTGGGAGAGAGAGAGAGAGAGAGAGAGAGAGAGAGAGAAAGAGAGCACCCGGGGGGCCTGCCGCTCGCGTCCACCGGCGGCGGCGGGACCGGCTGCGACTCGTCCAGGGCCTCCCCGTCCTCCTCCGGCCCCCTTCCGGCTCCCCTTTTTGACGGTGGCCAAGACGCTGAGCTACGAGGCTCACAACGTTCTCGTCGAACACGCAGAGGACGTAACCGACTCAGGCGCGGCGGCCTACACACAAGACC